GTCCCTCCATTTTCTGCACCGGCGGAAGAATTTTGGCTTGAGCGCTTCAATTGGACTGCGAGTCAAGCCTTCCTCCCCCCCGCCCCCGTGCCCTCACCTCCATGTTGTTGAGCACTTTGAGGAAGGTGAAGGCCATGCCGCCGCCGATGATCATCTCGTCCACCTTATCCAGCATGTTGTTGATCAGCTGGATCTTATCTTTCACCTTTGCGCTTTAAAAACAAAACAAAACAGATGAAAGCCCATCTAGCCTTAAAGCCCCAACACCAAGACAGCTCAATCGTTGGTGCTTTTTTTTTTTTAATTGACTCTCGAGCCAAGATGTTTTTCATTGATGAATGTCCTCTACGTGCACTGCCCAAGAACAAGAACAAGTGGCGCTTGCGCAATTCGCAGGATTCAAATGGACTCTGAGCCCATCGACCATCGCCGATAGCGAGGCGACCGCGAAGTCAATGCGAGCGGCAGGCGCGAAGGTCACGAACGGCGGGCGCCGGTCTCACCCGCCGAGGATGGCCAGGAAGGGCCTCTGCGGTTTCTCCAGAGCCATGGCGAAGTAGTCCAGCTCCTTCTTCATCAGGAAGCCGGCCGCCTTCTGGGGCAGGTTGACGCCCACCATGGAGCTGGAGGGAGGAGGCCGCAGCGCGTCAAATGCCGTCGCCGTCGATCAGCGCCGCACGGGGGCTCACCTGTGGGCTCTGTGAGCCGTGCCGAAGGCGTCGTTGATGTAGACGTCGCCCAGTTTGGACAGGGACGCCCGGAAGGAGTCGATCTGCTCCTGGGAAGCCTTCGTCTGTCACGTTGGGGAGAATAAAAATAACAATAAAACATACTCATCCTTCTTTGTTGTTTTATTGGGTGGTTTTGTTTTTTTTTTAAACAGCCCATTGTGTTCTGCACTCTGATTGGCTAAGGAGTGTCGGCTAATGTTAAGAGTCTTCATGCCTCATCGCTATGTAGCTTGCCAAATTTTCTCCATGACAAAACCCACAATGTCGACGAAACGTACCCCCCCCAAAAAAAAACACGTTTTCAGAAAAAAAAATTACCTGAAAAACTCGATTTAGTATATAAATAAATTGTATGTTTGATTGGAACTTTGCAAATCTTTCATCCATTCAACTTGGGACTTGGGACCACTTCCTGCTTGTATTGATGTCAGAAGAGGTTTTTTTTTTTAAAAACTTTTTGGGGCCGGGGGTGGAATGATTCTGAAAACATTTTAACTTGGGGAAAAAAGTAAAGGCCTTATGAGAACATTTTACACAATAAAGCAGCAGCAATATTTAAATGATAACGCTCCAAGTCTCTTGAGTGAGTTTCATATTTTCACCTAGCGTGGCCCTCATATTTATTTTTTGGAAATATAACCCGGGTAACACGTTTATTATTGTGGTTATAGGCACTGGGCCGCCTCATACTGCGCGCTCTGTAGATGCTTCTAACGATGCCGGGGACAGAAGCTTGGACAGTAGAAATGAATCCATGCAAGAGTGCATACCGAGCACGCCTCTTGGGACAGGAAAAGCAACAGCGACCTTCAAGATAAATGTCAGCAGCAGGCCCCAGAAGCCCCGATCTTTGATTTCTCCTTATATCTTATTGATTCATGAGCATCTTTTGTGCGTGCGTGTGTGCGTGTGCATGTCAGTGAGCTTCACCTTGTTTCCAGCGGCGTCCTTGCCCTTCCCCTCCTCGGCCACGTGGAAGCGGAGGTTCTCCAGCAGGATGACGGAGCCGGCGGCGGGGTTGGCGCAGGCGGCCTCCACCTCTGCACCCACGCAGTCCTTCAGGAAGGTCACGTCCCTGCACATGGGGGGCATTTTTGTAAGGTGGCTGACCGCCGACGCGACTTTTGCCTTCACTGAAATGCCCCTCACTTTCCCAGCAGGGACTTGAGCTCGGCGGCGACGGGCTCCAGCGAGTACTTCTCCGGCACAAAGTTGCCGTCGGGGCGGCCCAGGTGGCTCATGAGAACCACCGACTTGGCGCCGTGATCCAGGCAGTGCTTGATGCTGGGAACGGCAGCCTTGATCCTAAAACGGGATTAGGAAGGGGCGTCAGCTCTCTCAGTCGGCAACTGCCGAGGATGCAAAGCGTACCTCTGGTTATTGGTGATGTGCTTGTCCTTCATGGGAACGTTGAAGTCAACCCTGGCAGAAAAGAAAAAAAACAACAGGAAAAAATTAATGGGCCTTGTGAATTTGATGTGTTAAATGCGTAACCGTTTTCCAAGGAGAAAAAAAATATGTTGAATGTTTCATGATAGATTTTTTTGGGGGCTTCTAAATGCATACAAGAAAACCGTTTGGAATTTTATTTGGGGATTGGACACAAACTGCAAATATTCACTCAACGGTTGTTGTTAATATTGTCCACTGGAGGGCGCAGATGGACAAGTGAAACGCAAATGACTGTACCTTAGGAATTGATTGCAAAATGTGCACTTACTCGTATTTAGGAAATTCTGATCACTCAGACGATTTGTTCCAAGATCTGGAATAAGATAATAATCAATAAACGGGAATATTTTCAGAATGCACTTGTAATTATTTGCAGAAGAAAGGGGGGGACCCATGATCATGTATGGCTTATTAGGCCAAGTGTGCCAAAATGTGGCCAATTTTCTTCCTCATAGAGGATAGCTTGCGACTATCCCCCCCCCCCCAATTCTGATCACTCAGACGATTTGTTCCAAGATCTGGAATAAGATAATAATCAATAAACGGGAATATTTTCAGAATGCACTTGTAATTATTTGCAGAAGAAAGGGGGGGACCCATGATCATGTATGGCTTATTAGGCCAAGTGTGCCAAAATGTGGCCAATTTTCTTCCTCATAGAGGATAGCTTGCGACTATCCCCCCCCCCCCACTTATTTGACCGTTGGAATGAACGAGACGAGAGCAGAGTTGCTCTGATGCAGCAACGGCCGCATAAGCCAACGTGCCGCCTCCCTCGTACGCCAGCGTTGCATAAGTTCCCTCCTCCCCACCTGATGCACCCTAAGCCGACACCGGCGTGCAGACAATGCCGTACAGTACTGTAAAAGCAATGTCTGGTCCGGAAGCACAGCAGTCAGCTTTTCAGCAGCATTTTTTGGCAGCCCGAGGCGAGCATTTGATGATCCGCTGCCTTACAAACGCAGCACTTTTGATAGTGGCGGAGCGCCATGTCATTGTTGCCTTCTGATCCGGCCTAACAAATGGGCAGCCGTTAGCTCGTTTTAGGGGGGAGCCAAGCAGATTCTTGGGTGCTCGGCCCACTGTCGCCATGGTAACGTCCCCATATTGCCTCGTTTTTCATTCAGGCCCTCATTTCGGATGAAATGCTCACCGGGGCAAGCGATGGCTGTGACACGCTTGGCGCTAGCACGCTGTTAGGTCAAATCACAAACTGTATCTGACGGTGTCCCTTGGCTTATGCGAACTGGAACCTTTGACATTTCCGCAGTGGACGGGTGTCAGGTTCAAGTGTGCCAACGGACCAACCAAACGGACCCGTTTGGTTCATGAAAGAAGTTTAACTCAATGATGATTATGTTCAATCTGGACACTGACTAAAAGCACAGTTTTGAACGCATTCTGTAATGTCTGCATTCATTTGAAAGACAGATATTGAGGTTGAGTCAACCATGTCCTCACTGTTTGGCCTACTCTTTATTTTGAATTTTAAGCAAGTTTATTCGCTCATCTTGGACATGTCCAAGATTCTCATCGCCCAAGCTGCACCACGCTACTATTTATCATCCGAAAAAAAAAATCCTTAATATATTTGCTGTTTTCATAACAAAAAAAATTGAAATAACTGGCATCGTTGGCACCCTGAAAATTACTGAAGATTTGATCAGAGGTGATTGAGGTTTTCAAACTGAAAAACAAAATATACTGTATTGATCTGTAGTGGTTTTATGGCAGTTGGTTTGTGCGTGCACATTATTACGTACATTTGAGGAACGCACAAAGATAAACACTTAACGTTGCAAAATTGAAATATTCGAGAGGTTAAGTGTACTTGATGGCAATTTGCAACACTATTAATAGCAGGGTCCTGGCACATGACGTCAGTACAAAACGTGAAAAAA